GAGAAAAGGTGAAAATGACGAGGGAAAAACTTTACTTTGTAGTACGAAAATACACAAAATGGAAAGCCATGATATTATAGTTCAATATTTCGGTGGTACATTGTTAACTTTTTATACAGAGAGTCGGCAAGATGATATAACATCCAAAAATCGCACTCGATTTGAGTGGGCCGATGAAGTGGGCGTGGTCACGAAATTCAGTAAGAGACTATTTGTACCCCGTGAGTTTGATATGTTTCGTTTGCCTAAACAGAAAGATCAACGACACTGGTACCAAAATTGAAAAGAAAAGAAATATGAAGCGAGGTTTGTCTAAAATGATAAAATACGCCTACTATAGCCAGCTGTTTTTGAAATGAATAAAGGCTGATAGTTTCGAAAGAAACTGTTTGGGGCTGCGTCGGTGGGAGTAACGAAATAATTTGGATATATCAACAAAGTTGAAATGGTAAATTGGCCACCGTAACGATTACAAAAGCTGACGTTTCGAGCGTTAGCCCTTCGTCGGAGCGAAGGGCTAACGCTCCGACGAAGGGCTAACGCTCGAAACGTCAGCTTCTGTAATCGTTACGGTGGCCAATTTACCATTTCAACTTTGTTGATATATTCAAATTATTTCGCTACCCCCACCGACGCAACCCCAAACAGTTTCTTTAGAAACCATCAGCCTTTAAATAATGAACACAACACTAGATTCCCTTTATTGTTTCTCAAGGACTAAAATGTTTGGGAGCTGCATGGAACAACTAATGATGAAGATCATGTGGAGGTTTGAGGAAGAGCATTTTCAACTTTTACTTTTGGTGGCAATTTAAATTACACTCACCAGAAACCTTCCTGCCAATATTTGTATGCAGTCTTCAGGGGCAGCGGTATGTCGTCTCTTTGAAACTTGTATTTCAGGGCTCGCGTCAGTTCTTTGTTTAGTTCATCCTCCGAAATCTGTAAGAGTTTTCCCCAGTTATCACTGCACCCACCGTTATTGGCTATTGTGTGTAGCACGACTTCTCCATTAGGTCCGACTCCCCTAAAACAACAAGTAACAAAAATTAATAATTATTTAAATTCAATAACCTTGACCATAAAATTTCTAGTAAAGAATCTGATATCGATGCTATTGTGTCCTTCCTTAACAAAAACAAATAAAGTTAATACAGGTTGACTCCTTAATACGCCGGGTTCCACAGATTAGAGGTATTATAAACAACGGTAAATAGCACCCACTATAAGCTACTTTCTGCCATAACTGACTACTGAATGTATAGATTCTCGCTCGAAAATACTACTTACTTTCATTCAGGGAGAGAAACATTGATTTTAATTTACTTGAAAGATTATTGTAAGTTTCATTCGAATGTTCCTGTTTTTGGTGACCGTTTAACACAGGTGAAGGAGAATAAAAACAGGCCGTTAGGACAAGTAAAGGGTAACCGTGACCGCTTGAAAGAGGTGATCGATCAGTGGAGGTGAAATTACAATGATTAAGAGGAAAAAAACTCGAGACTTCTACAACTGACAACTTAATTCAGGGTAACCTCTTAATACAGTGCCGCTTAACATAGGCTCGACTTTATCATAAGAAAAGTAAAATTTCGCATGAAATGGAGGTTATTGTCTTTTTTTATCCCTAAGTTTAAATTAAGTTTATTGTTTATTGTCTTTACGTGGGGCATGGTTACCCACATTGCCCGAGCCAGAGGCTCATGTATGAAACGTAAGACAGCAACCCACCCATCCCACCCCAGGGGAGGACTTCCATCACACAGTAATCTCGTGCGTGGNTTCAACCCCCCAAAAAAGCTGTCAAGCTAAATAAAGTAATAGATTGTAGCAACTGCTCTGCTTTAGCATGCCATTAAAATTCTATTGCTTGTGAAAGTTTATTTCTCTGAAAATGGTTGATTTGTTGATCTTAGAATCGCTTCGTCGCCATTCCGACGGCGTGATACCGGTCAAAGACTCCAGCTATGAAAAGCAAGGCGTTTCTCCAACGTGGGTTTATCGGAACTTTTTTTTCGTGTACACGGTATACTTTCCACATAATCATACTCAATGCTGATAATCAATATTTCTTCTTTAACGCAGTCCAAGAGATAATGAACAGAATACTAAATTGACTTCATTTTTTCTCAAGGACTAAAATGTCTGGGAGCCACATGGAACAACTACTAATAAAGACCATAAGGAGATTTAAGAAAGAGCATTTTAGACTTTTATTTTTGGTAGCAAATTGCGCTCACCAGAAACCTTCCTGCCAATATTTGTATTTAGTCTTCAGAGGCTGCGGTATGTTATCTCGTTGAAACTTGTATTTCAGGGCTCGCGTCAGCTCTATGTTTAGTTTATCCTCAGAAATCTGTAAAATTTTTCCCCACTTATCACTGCATCCTCCGTTATTAGCTATTGTGTGTAGCACGACTTTTCCGTTAGGTCCGACTCCCCTAAAACAACAAGCAACAAAAACAAATGATTATTTAAATTCAAGAGCTTTGAAAATAAAAATTTTTAGTAAACAAGCTTATAGCGATGCTATTCTGTCCTCCAATACAAAAAGAAGATATTTAGTCAAGAGATGTTTTGAGACCAATCGCACTTCAGCAAAAATTGTTTGATGGCTTCTTATGGCCGATCACCCGAGGTTAAGTGAATGATTGAAATCGCAAGATTTATCATCTAATGATAAACATTTTAGTTAGACCAGATGATCACTTACTTGTAAGGCATTGTAATACCCAAACAGTCACTACTGGATATAAACATGTCGAGAGGCTGCAGAACGTTCTTTTTCTGCGCGGCAGTGGTATCATTCCACCAAGCTCTATCGTAGACCGCTGCCCCAAAGAATGCAGGTACGCTTACAATGGAGTTAAAGATCTCGTGATATGTGATGTTCAGAATGACGTCACCTTTTATCTTCTTCAAAGCCGCAGGTCCAACAGTAATAATTGTCTTGTTGGCCCTTGCAGTTCGTCTCGTTGTTCGAAGAACATACTTGCCTTCAATTTTGTCAACAGCTGTTACTGTTTCTTCGAGGTAAATTCTTGCAGTAAGATTTTCCACTTTTTTCCGAAGCTCTGTGATTAACTCACTCATACCTTTGGTGGGCCTCGCGTCGTCTCCATTATCATTAGTGAGATACTCCTGATGTTCCAGGTAGGTTCTATAACTGTCAGGGTTTATCTCTTGCATGTAGTCACCCTTAAAGCCAAAAGCATCTGCTATGAACTTGGTTCCCTCCGGGGTCAACTCGTACGAAAGAAACGTCTCCGCCGTGGAGAACTGCGTATAATTTCTCTTATTAGAGGAGATGAACTTGACAATATCTGCGGTTGTTTTGTTTGTAGGGGCTCGATCAGGTAATGTTGGAAAGGCCTCTGGCTTTAGAGAATCAAAACTGCTTGCGTACCTACCACGGGCTTCAACACGAGCGATGGTCCTTATCCATGAATCAATAAAGACTCCCAAACTCTGGGCGAAATCTCTAGAATGAAATACAAGAAAAAGAAACAAACAAGCAAACAGGATGAATCGAGTTAATCATATTTAAGGTTTGTTTAATCGATCAATAACCAGTGGAATACACTTGATTGATCTTCCGGCGTGAAAACTCGAGGAACTGGTCATA